TCATTAAAATGAGATGATGCTCTTGTTTCTGATCATAAACATGATGGCTGTTTGGCTGCCAGTGCATCGGTTCACTGTGATTTGCATTTACAGCACAACTAAAGTAGAGTCTCGCAGCGGGAAACAGGCAGCTGGGCCGTCGAGCAGCAGTAATTATGACTTTCCTCTTATCTCAGTCACGTACGGTTCAGCTGGTATTAAAGAGCAATACTTCTGTGTTTATTAAAGGTGCAACATTTATAGCGGGTGTCAGAAACCTTTGCTTTCATTAAGAATCCCTTCCACAACAACAACAGGAGGCACAGCTATGCTCTTGTATTATTTGTCTGCTTCTCGTCGCAGCAGCTTTAAGTGGCCCCACTGCAGCCACTCTGGAGCCGCTGCAGACTGAATGTAACACTCAAGGATGCTTCGGTAATGTAGATAAATGCAGACGCGCTGGTTTTGATTCATGGCACTTGAGCCAAATAGTGGTGTCAAGTTTACTAATGAGAGTTTTACTCACCATTGTGATTCTCCCTGCTGGCTTCATGGGTTGTCAGTGTTTCCTGAAGGCTGGAGGCCYCAGTGTGACGGCGCAGCAGAGGGCAGGGCTGTCTGACGGACGAATGGGGGGAAATATTCTCCGAGGTGGAAGGCAGAGGCATTAAATCACCAACGCTCAGACCTGAGGGCAGTTTGGAGTTGAACGTCTCCGTGACTTACTGAATGTCTTTGGGCCYCAGGAGGAAGGTGAAGCGTTCTCACCGAACTGGCCGAGGGTGACTTTAAGTTATTCCAGTTAAACGATTTAAACGTAGGGCTTTTTTCCAACCTTTAACAAACTCTGTGCAGATTTATTATTGCTTCTAACAGAAGCTGGGCAGTCTGCGGTGTGGAGCAGAACTCGGTCCTCAGAGTTCAGACAATACATTGTGACAGATGCAAACACTCAGCGCTGTGTTATCTCACCGTGACTTCTCAGAATCTCTCCCAGCAATGAGGTGGCCGGCCACCAGGGARGAGCGAGGCAGAGTGAAACGTGATGTGCAGTAAGTAGGGGGTTTACTGTTCCGATCAAATCCTACAGGATCRCTAACCACGATAGTACAACGCTCCTGAAAAATGACTCTGTGACTGATGATGCTACATCGCCTGACAAAAAGAAATGACAGCATCTTGACACTGAAGGACTTCAACTCCTGATTTAGTTTGAAAATAAAGAAAGAGAAAAATAACTAGATCAGTTGCCTGTGGTGGTTTCATTAAAATGTGTCCTGTGGTTCATCGGATATTCAGCTAACAGACACATGAACACACACATGCAGACCCTCTTGGGGACAGGCAATAAAAAGAAAACCCACTCAAATTAAATCAAATTAAAAATCTGAATAAAGACAAATTTATAAGGCAAAAAGAGTAATTTTACCTCCTGCTTTAGCTTAAAATAATTATGTAGTTATTGGATTCAGATTATTGACAGAAAACTTGACCTGAACTAGAAAACAGTTGGTTGTCCCTGAAATTTAAATGCAAACAAAATGGAAAATGTTGTAAAGAGAAAACATGTTAACTGTCAGATAAATGAGAGATGTGCCTCTAACAGGAAATAGTATGTAAAAAGGAGAAAAAACATGTAATGAAGCTGTAAGAAAGTGATTTTACATCAAATATGAATCAATTTTATGCGCTGAGCAGCAAGAAGAGTTAAAAAGTTCCAGTGGGTTTGAAAAACAACCAGATATTTGTATGAAAGTGTTTGTTTTAGAGATAAATTGCCATTTTGATGCAGACATCCTGGGTCTTTAGTTTGGTACAGATTCAATGAAACGTATAAAGATGATTGTGTGGATAAAAGCAGCTGATTTTCACAGGCGTTAATGAGGAAACGGAGCTAAATGCCAGCAGAGCAGTCGTTACCTCGACAGTAAAACTCGGAGAGAAATGAACATTTTGGACACGTTTCACCAGGAGGTTTGAGGATGAAGTTGTCAGGATGTTAGACTAACATGGTGAGAAACTATCTGCAAAATACGGTTGATCAGCTTTGAATTACGATCAAATCATTTTTCACTTTTGCATTTGACAATTTTTTAAAGCATTGTAAACTTTGTGACTCCAGTTTTCATCACTTTCATGTATTTATCTATAAATGACCTCTCCCTTCATGTCTGTTTGTGGTTTATTGAAATAATCAAAATGAAACTGTGAACTTGTGACCACATAGTTTAGATAATTGAACAGAAAGACACTTTTCCTGAAAAGTTGCGTTTTTGTTGAAGCAATGTTTCTGCCTGGCAGCAACAATTTGTTGGAGACAAAACAACTGACAAAAACAATAAGTAAGATTTTCACATCAAAACCAACAATTGATGGTTTCTGTTGAGATAAAAGGTGGTCAAAGCTGCAGAAAGGACCAGTTTGACACGGTTTGGACTGAGTAAAAGGAAATATTTGAATGTATTGTTTCAGCAGAGGGCGGCATGTTGGTAGAGCTGATGCCTCTCAGCAAGAAGGTTGCTAGATCAAATCCCGGCCCGGGGACCTTTCTGGGTGGAGTTTGCATGTGTGTGTTTCTTCAAATGTGTGTTCTTAACTGCAGTGCCATTCTGCGTTGCATCTTTGATATTGTGTGTGAATGACAATAAAGCAGATTCTGATTCTGATGTTCTCTCCGTGCATGCGTGGGTTTTCTCCGGGTACTCCAGCTTCCTCCCACACAACAAAAACACGACTGTTAGCTTAACTGGTAACTCTGAATTGGTTGTTTGTCTATATGTGGTCCTGTGATGGACTTGAGACATGTCCAGAGTGTACCCCCCACCACCACCACCACACACACACTGTGACTGCTGGATTGGGGCACCAGTGACCCACATGGATCTATTGACTGTACTTAAAAATAAGTGAACTATAAGCAGAAGTTGATTTTTTTAATAAACTCTGACGACACATAAATATGACCACCTATGACCAACAGACAGACTTTAGGAAATATTTCAGTGCAATTCACAAATTTTGCAAAGTGACAGTTTATTTGAGCCTTAATTTCTACTCTGCTTTTCAGCCTGCCTGTCTTATTAAGAGTCCTGTCTGCAGTTGAGAAACAGAGAAGTGTAGCTGCCATGGTGACTGTGATGCAAGCGCACCACTGATGAAGAAAAGCAGCTGAAAGAGTCTCTGGTTTCTGTAAAATCTGTGGCTTTCCTGATGCCTCAGGACCTCCTGTAACGTCTTTAACATCGTGCACGTCTTCACAGCCGGTGTCTTTCTGATAACTGGTCATCATCGGAGCACCGTGCCGCCCGCTGGTTTCAGTCAAGCTGAAAATGAACCCAGAACAAATCCTCACAAATAAAGTTCGACGTTTGAGAAACTGACTCCTCGCTGAGAAAAGTATGAAGTTTCTCAAAGTTACACCTTGGTGAAGTTAGAGACGGTTTAGATCAGGGGTTCTCAAACTTTTGGGGTCTTTAAAGGTGAATACTGCAGGGACGCCCTCTTAAACCCCATGCTGCTTTAAAAATATTTTCATATTTAAATTTCATTTTAACCCCCAAAAGCCATGGGAATATTATTTTTATTTTTACTAGTGCAAAACCAAATTAACAGTTTAAGAGGGCTCAGTTTTCTCTTTCAATTCACCAAAATCCCATCGTTGAATAGAAAGGTTATACTTTATTTAAAAAAAGTTGTCTATGTCCTGTGCCACACTTATTTCTAATTAATTTGATTCAATGTATTTTCCATGTGTAAACAGAATAATGATCAAACAAAGTAAGAGTGCTACAATATTTCTGCTGAYGCTCCCAGAAATACAGGAAAATCTACTTTTCTACAACTTCCTCAACAAATGTTGCATCCTGGTCAGTTTGGAATTGTTCACGTTTTCATTTGAAGCCATATTTGTCTGAAACAAACAGATGTGAGCATCGGATTCTGTCACCAGCTGATATTTAAATGACCACTTCTTCAGCTCAGTGTCTCACATGAACCCACTCCTCTGATCGATTCTGACTGCCTTCAGTTGACTGGAAGGTTTTCTTTTTCTTTTTTTATTTTGTGCTGTAATCTGCCAAACCTAGTCTTTAGCTGTTTTATTTATTTCCGAGCTACAACCTTCACGTTTTTATTTTAAGCCCCAAAGAGGAAGCTTCAAAGCAAACTAACCCTGCACACACTCTTTTGTTCCCTCATGCGAGGACTCCAGGCGTTAACAGCAATTCACTTTGGTCCCACTGGCATGACTCTCCCTGACATTAAACAGCAAATGACGTATCATTGGTTGTTTTAAAATAAAACTCTGCTCTCCTGCAAAGCGAACGCTCTCGCTGCGCGTTGTCAGACCCTGAGTGTATATGTGTAGACAGAAATAGACAACCACCCACATATCATTAGGGAGATGGAGGGAGAGAGGAGGAGAGACGGACTGTGACAGTGGWGGAGAAGGAAGGAAATATGGTGGTCACAGATTCCCACTGCAGCCCCTGTGGTTTCTTCAGCTCTCAGATGAAAGAGATGCATTTTAACAGTTTGCTTTCACCTGCGTGGACTCCCTGATAAGCACCTCCTAATTTCCACCGAGGATTGGATGATAATTTAGTTCAGTATCTGAAGTGTGTGGGAGGGTGTAGGCTTTCTGCTACACTTCTGCTTTAATGGACTTAATGATGTAGAAGGAGTCCGCCCTCTTGTGGAGCTCAGGAAAAAAATATAAATATATGCAGTATATGAGTTCTGCATTACAGGGCATTGTTATTTCATGAGACTCTTGAGCTTTCCTCCTCTTATCTAACAGATGTGTTTCATGATTCACTGTGTAGGCACACAATCTGTTGCTTACACTAATTTATATGACTGTCCTGACAAAGAAATAGAACAAACTCAGAAAACATTTTTGTCTCTTTTTTTGGTTAATTTGAGTAGATTTTATACAAAATATGTGTGCGTTTTATAGCCAAACAGGCAGCTGTCTAATCTAAATTAAAAGCTCATCTTTGTTTCAACTCYTCTGCTTTCAGGAAGGTGCTAAATGTGAAGATCATTGATGATGAAGAGTACGAGAAGAACAAGACGTTCACAATTGTGTTGGAGGAGCCCATTCTGTTGGAGGTGGGACAGAGACACGGTGAGCTGAAGACCCCTCATACAACAGGATGCTTTACCTTTACATCGTTTCATTATATTTTATTTAAAATCCTGTGTGCCAGTTTTATCCATCCTTGCACATTTTCATCCATCCACTTTCTACATTGGTTTGATTTTGTTGAGGGTCGCAGGGAGCAGGGTCCCTCRTTTTAACGGGAGAGAGGTGACATGCTATGGACAGGTCCCAAGTCCATCACATGWCTTGTAGAGACAGATAATTATTCACACTCACCCACAAACTATTTAGAGATATTTACGTGCAGCAGTGTAGAACTGTCATGCTGTATCTGGTTTTAACAACAAAACTGTCTCGTAAAAACGTTAACCGTCTCATTAAAATGCATTAAGGGAATGACATCACTTTCACAAACGTTTCCTTGCCCTGAATGCTAACTTACTTTGTCATTTTTCAGTCTAGAAATATGTTCTGCTTGTAGATTTCTTTGTAAAACGACATGAAGTGGCTCAGTCTCCATTTTCTCCATCATGCTTTATAAGGCAATRAAACATTCGTGAAAGTGATAAAACCATAACTTAAGATGATTATTTTGTTTTCACTACATAGTATTTTGTTCTTAAGTGATAGTTTTGTCATTGTGCTTTTTGGAAATGGACCTAAATGAAAGGGTGTATGATGAGAAGAGCAGGGGGGCTAAAAAGAAGCCTTGAGGTACCCCAAAATAATAAAGAGTCAAAGCTGAAAAGAGGTTTTGTTTAATGAGGAGAAAAACTCCTGCTTGACAAGCATGGCTGGAACCGTTAAATAATTGGACGTGTATTATTAGCAAACAAATCTATGATAACTAAATATATTTTATAAAGTCTGTAACCACTTTTGACGTTTGCACCTAAACCATCAAGCACTATATGATTGGTTGTTTTGTAATTCAGAAGGCATTTGGACAAGAAGAAATCGAGTCAGACCAACAGATTTCATTGTGAATTAGGCAACAGCTCTCCTTAAC